GACTCGGTCGGATGTCCAACAATGCCATAAACTGACCTTGTCTGTGGCGGTTCGAGTTAGGAGGAGGTGAGCTGCAGAGCAACTACGGAATCACGGATAGTGTTTAGTTTACAGTTATATTAGCGAAAATGCGATCCCCAGGTGGTAAGTCAGAAGAATGAAGAGCGTTCACCGGGAGAAGTTTATTGAGTGTCTAACGTTTCGAGTAGTTGTTTCGTATATCCACCTCTACATATGTGGGGGCGAAGTAAAGCTTAGCACCATGGTGACAGACCAGACCAACAGGGAGGTCGACAGCAGAGATGCGACCCAAATGCAGCGGCTTACCTGAGATTGGCAGAATACGCACATGGAAAGAAAGCGGTAGATAGCAATAACCATGAACCGGAGTATTCATTCTCTGAAGACGCGTAGACGAACCAACTACACGAACCGTCAGACACTCAATAAACCTCTACCGGTGAACGTTGTCTACTTCTTCAGAATGCTCAGTTTACTATGCCTCGGATGGAGTAAAAGTGTTCGGCATCCTCGGCATTTCCACATGCTCGTTGGTGTCCAACTCGTACACAGTTCTTCAAAAATACTAACTGGTAGGACTGCCTAAAATAAATTCCGTCTACCTAAGGCTGCCTGAAAATAAATTCCGCCAGCCTAAGGTAGAAGTTCCGCCCATAGGAATTGTCTGCTATTCTTATTGGTCAATAAGGATCAGTACCCTAAGCAACAGAAGTCTATTTTGGTCGATTTGATTATATTTAGTTTGATAAAACAATTATAATTGGCTTTAATTTACTCGCCATTGTTCACTTTCCATCCAATATAACACGCATTTACACTGCTTAATCGAGTATTTAACATTTAGGGAGTTTCACAGGACAGTTTTGCCGACTAACCGAAGTTGCTGCCATGCCAATCCTCACCAGACAACGCGTACTGTAAGGATCAGAGGCAGTGTTTAGTTTACTATGTTTCGGACAGAGTACAAGTGTTTGGCCTCCACGGCATATTCACACAGTTACCGTTGTCCAGCGCGTACGCTTTGATATACTTAGTTATTCAAAAGGACTAAACTAACCTCCTGCCATGACAGTTCTCACCATACTACGCGTGCTTTAATAATCACAAACAGTGTTTAGTTTACTATGCCTTGGGTACAGTACAAGCTTTCTCGGCATTTCCACACGGCTTTCGTTGTCCAACGCGTACGCCTTAATTAACTTATTTCTTCTAAAAGACGGTTACAGTCGGTTAAAGGGCTCACCACAGAAACCAAACCCCCAGAATTCTGCACTACGGGACCGATGTTAATAGGGGTTATAGAGATGGGGAGAGAAAGTAAAAGAAATGTATCAGACGGAAACGGTAAATGGCAGATAAACTTATTACAAAAAGCTAATATATTGCAACGAAAAGCGCGCATAATTGAGAATAAATTAAAATAAAAAACAGTAAGTTAATTAAATTTGATTAAATTAATTAATAAAATAACAAATTAAAGAAAAATAAATGCAATACAATTACCACCGATCGCATATCACAGAATTCTAAGGCTTTGGGTTTTCTGATGGCGAAAAGACTAACCTAACCTCCTGCCGTACCAGTACTCATCAGTATCACCCTTGGTTTGAACGTTGGCTGTACTCAAGCCTACCGTGTGTGTTTGGCCACTGATTTTTTCCCAAGTGGATCAAATTTTAAAAAAAGCTTTCTTACGAATGGTCATTAAATGGACTTCAGGAAGCGCTGCTTGTGGTCGCCTATTCAGGGAGTTTTGCACCAGGTATGCTTCGGTACTATGCGGTGGGAACATTTCCCACGCTTGCTTTAGGCCATAAGTGTTTGCGCCAAAGCACAGACGATATTGACCCTCCTCTATGTGAGCACAAAGATGCATTGTGATGCGTCCGTCGCGGACCACCGCCACGTTGGCCATAATTTCGCAAAATCGAGGTGGAAACCAAATGTCACATCAGTGGAGTTGTGGGAGCCTGCCGCTGTTGACTCACGATGCCTGCTTTTCTTCGCCGCGCACTTGGCAACCGCTGCCAGAAGCCGTAAGCTTCCCCCTTCTCGCCGCAGCAAGCCTTGCACAAGCGCCAGCCAATCGATG